AAAGACAGTTATCTTTTGTTTATAAAAATTACATAAATTAAGACCATTTTCAACTAATTGTTAGTTCTTTAATATCTATTGTAATTATGGCTGTGCATCTCGATTTCGGAAACATTTTTTATTCATTGGCAAGAAATACACTTATACATCCAGGATATCCTTAAGGGAACTTGAACCCTCGATCTTCTCTTTTGAAAGGTGGGAAAGTACCATCAAGCTACACTAACCAGAACAAATTTATTTCTTTATCATGAATAACTTAAGTTCGGCTTATTAAAAATTCCAACTTATATATTCGTTCAAGTAAACAAGTCGAGTTTCAAAACATTTTATGCACATTTGATAAACGAGGTGAACTTGAACAACTAGCTCTCTTATTAAGCTCGTGCGCAAACTCGTATAAGAAATAAGTAGATCCATGATTTTTAAACCTGTTATGGTAGACTTATGGCCCCAATATAGGATAATTTTAGCGCATGGGTTTCTAACATTTATGTCCAAGTGAAAGTCTCACTTAAGTTAAGTGCTCACATTTTGTTCATAAGAAAGGCCAATACACTTTTCCAAAATGACTTTAGGAAAAGGCCCATAAAACTTTCTCATATTAGTGAAAGGCCCACTAAATTGTTCACATTGTTCATAAAAGGCCCATAGACTAACCCAAAAAGGTTTTTAAAAAGTCCCATATAGATTTCTAGACAAGCTTGTTTATGTAGTCTTCTTCTATACATACTTGTGTTTGGTTATTATATAAATGTACGGATTGAGGTTTGAAATAATACGACCTCAAGCCGAGCTCAAGTTAAGTCCAAGCTCGCTTAAAAATTGTCAAGTCATTGTTGAAATTTATTTTGTTTGGTCATAAGCTTCATGAATGTGCACATGGTTTGGATTGGACCGTTTAAAAATATTTTGAAACCAAATCATTTCTAACGATTTCATAAAAATTAGAACTGAATCAAATCATGAAATCAATAGAAACGAACCGAATCAAACTGTTTTTTACAGTTTGATTCGGTTCGGTTCTAAATTTTTAGGTTTTTTTATAATTCATTCTAGTGTATATATAATTAAAAATATATATTATATATAACATAATTTTTATTATATATTATGATATATAGTTGAGCAATTAAAAGACTAATTTTATTATTGTATTATTTGTATAATAAAAAAAGTATAAAAATATATACAATATATAAAAAGGTTCGGTTCGATTTGATTTTACAGAAATTCAAAATGTAACTGAACCATTTATAAACGGTTCCATGTTTTTGAAACCGTAATTGAATCGGACCATGAAAAGATTGAACCAAACCTATCAGACTAATTTAGTTTGATTCGGTTTATTGGTTCAACTAGTTTTTTTGTACACCCCTGGTTGGACCTTATTACATTGATTTGGATTGTTTAATACAACTCCAAATAAAAAGAAAAGGAAAATAAAATTTCTTGAACAAAATGGGAAGAAGAATTGAGATGAAAAAAAAATAAAAAAATAAATAATGATGTCTCTTCTGTTGCTATCATCACCAGATTGGGTCAACAAATGTTTACGAAGATTACATTTTTTTGCACGCCATTTAAATTAATGATCCGGACAAAAAACAAAGACAAAGACAGATTAAATTAATAAGGAGAAAAAAATTGCAATATATGTTAAGTAATTTCATAGACATATAATACACTTTAATAGCAATATTTTAATTATTAAATTTAGTCATTTCTTTGTCTCCATTAGGTTTATAGGCGGTGGTTACAATAATCAAAGTTTTAAGTAGGTCCACTAGAAACAATTATTGAAATGAAATAGTCAAGCGATAATTATCCTTTGCTTTAATTTGTTGATAATTAATTTCTTGGATTGAAACTTAGACATGACAGTCCGTTGTTGAAACTTGGAAACTTCTTAATTCGAGTGTATCTCTTTACTGTAACCAAGAACAAAGATTTGTGGTCGTGGGACACAAAGTTTCGCCTTTGGGGGAAATTCACATAAAACATAAGAGACATTTATTTTTTAGGTTAATTTCACTCACACTCTTTTAGATTTGATCAAATATCACACTAAAATATTTTTAAAAAATTATTATCACTAATACTATAAACGTTTGTTCCGTCTTTCACTCACACCCCAACTGTTATGTTCTGAATTCTAACATTATGTAATATAACTTAAATACCCTTTAACTTGATCAAAAATGCTCTCTAACCAAATGAATTAAATAAAAAAACTACAATACCTCTAAATACACAACAAAGTTATAATTATATATATATATATATATATATATATATATATATATATATATGATGAAATATATACCCTGTCGCCACTCAGCCACGTGCCTGATTGACCTATTCAACTTTTGCCTCTTTTTTATTTTTATTATATATATATATATATATATATATGGTGTAAACCGTGTAATATTTTGTTAGCAAATTAAGCATGAAGTTCATGGCAAGTCCTTAAAAGTATAGATGCATGAATGATACAGAATATACATTTTATGAATTTGATAAGTGAGTTCATGGCAAATTAATTGGAAAAATCAGACTAAAATATGTATGTGTGTGTAATTTGTAGGGAAAAAATTTGGGATTATTTGTATTAATGTAAATTTACACAATATAATACATAGAAGAATTTATAATTTGATAAACGAGCATTTTCATAATCTGAATCTTACAACATGAATAACTACAATCAAAATATATAATTTATAGTAAACATAGTATTTAATTGATATTTGTACTACTATAAATATATATAGAATTTATTAGGGGTATAACGGTAATTTTCATGGATTATAGAAATTTACAAAGGGGCCTTAGGCCCTTGTATTTTCTAGCAAAATTGGTTTTTTTTTTTTTTTTTTTTTTCAAAAATTAAAGCAATTTTCATTGATTATAGAAATTTACAAGGGGGGCTATGCCCAAAAAGGAAAGACAAGACAAGCCAAAATTGTTAAGAGAGAGAAAGATAAGAGTGGGTGTATTAATTAGGGGTATAGAAGTAATTTAAGTAATATGATATTTTAGAATAAATAGGATTAAAAAATTAGGAGTAAAGTTGCCTTTTTCTACTTTTTAACAGATTGGGTTACGGAAAAGTAAAAAAGTGTTTAAGTGGTAATAATTTTCGAAAGATATTTGAGTGTGATATTTGGTCAAATTTGAGGAGATGTCAGTGAAATTAACCCTTACGTCTGACTGTGTGAGATTTTTTGGTAAAAATAAATAAAACAACTTGTGATGCAATATTTTGATTCATGGTTGTTCATTCATTACTTTTATAGTAAATTATGCTTATTTCCTTAAAAGTTTAGGCAAATTATACTCGAATGGTTGTTCAGCGCATGTTACTATGACCTCAACTGAGATTTTGCTTGTGAGCTCAGCAACACCTTTAAGGTTTTCTTTCCTACAAACTTGTTATGATAAATTTTATAAAATGATAATTTTGAACTTCCTTTTTATAAAATTTAATATAATATATTATTAGGAATGACGACGGGACAAAGTTGGGACGGGATTGGCTAAACCCTATTTCATCTCGTTAGAAAATCTGTTATACCAACTCCGCCCCTACTCCGAAACATATTTGTAATTGGTATACCAACCCCAACTCTACATCGGAAGACAATATACTTAGGCATGTGATATTTAATTACCAAATCAAAGATAGTAGTTAGATATTCACTTACCAAATCATAGATGGTAATCAAATTACTATCTTTGATTTGGTAATTAAAATAGGACGTGTTCATTTATTATTGGTCCATATCTGTTATAGATCCTCACTAGTGAGGAGTTAAGTATTTTTCATTTAAAATTAGTAAGTACTGAATTTTAATATATTAAGTGACACTTTCAATAAAGTAATAAGGATCTTAAAAATATTAAATATATATTTTATATAATATATAAAAATTTTAAAGAGTCATATATAATCGGGGCGAGTTGGGGAGGTACAATCTCTTTTGTCATTAAAAAAAAAAATTAAATACTGGTAATTTTCTTTGAAGCTAAATTCACAATATATATATATTCCATTGCCCTGGGTACAATATTGACGATCTCACAAAGATTCGATTTCAGTGAATTTCCATTTACTGATCTCATCTTTTACGGAATCGATCCCCCTTTGACTGTACAAGAATATGTGGAGCTCAGCATGTCTGGAAGTACAGGAGAACGCTCTTTTGCTGATATTATTACCAGTATTCGATACTGGGTCATTCATAACATTACTATACCTTCCTTATTCATTGCGGTCCAAATTTAAGTGTCGTTTATGAGGAGTAATAATTTTTAAGGGGACATGTGGGACATGCATTGTCTGTCAGGAAAATTACTAACTTATCCTTTTAAATTTTGAATATTCAAATTTTAAATTTTAAACTCAAGGGACATATATGGAAAGATGTGAAATATATTATTTGAAAAAGGAAAGTGAACTATTATTTTGGGTCAAACAAAAAAGTAAACCATGACATTTATTTTGAGACGAATGGAGTGTGTGTATATATATATATATACATATTTAAAAAAATCGCTTACCTTCAAAATCACAAGGAAATAAAAAAATAATATTTGCACTTATTTATTGTATTAAATTGCTAAACATATTTCTTTTAATTAATAATTTATGTAACAAATAAAGAAGTAACACTCTGCACTTATTTGCATTGTACATAAATAATTAATTAAAAATATTCAATTAAATATTAACGGCACTAAATCAGTTTAAATATCACAAATAGAAGGAAATTGAGTGGGATTGAATGTTGAGGACCACAATCTGTGCCAGTCTTGCTGGTAATAAGTAAACGTCTTCTAGAATATCTTTGGATAGACGTTTGCGCGCGCGCCACGTGTCAGCTGCATATCGTTGCATGAAACCTCCGTAAATTTTGTCCATTTCTTGTTGGCCCCCACAATCAAGCGCAAAAATCAATAACTCCATTCTCATCTTAAACCCCCCTCACGCGCCACTCCAAGCGCGTCACTTCACAAACTACCTTTTTCTTTTTGTACTCGTCCTTGTCCCCAATCTCTTCACCCTAATATTTTCGCGCGCTCCATAAATCGCGCACGTTAGCACTACCGTAAAGCAGCAAAACCCTCACTATCTATGATGGAAAATCACATCGGACTTTTGAAGCTCCATCATGGCGTCAACTGGGTCGTCCTCATCGCACCGTACGTCACTGCACATATGGGAACCGTACCACAACCACCACCACCACCACCACCACCACCACCGATGGGTTACCGGTTTGACCCGAATATCAAGCTGAGTCCGTCAATGGCGATCATTCTCGTCTGCCTCCTTACAGTCTTCTTCCTCCTTGGCTGCTTCTCCGTCTACATCCACCAGATCATCGAGCGCCGACTGTTCCGAAACTTCCCCTACGGCGGAGGAAGGCCGCAGCCGGAGGCGGCGGGTGGCGTCGACCCTGCTGCGATCGACACTTTTCCGACGTTTAAGTACTCCGAAGTCAGACGGCTCAAGATAGGCAGTGTCGCGCTAGAATGCGCCGTGTGCATAAGTGAGTTCGAAGACGACGAGACTCTTCGGTTGTTGCCGAAATGTAGTCACGTGTTCCATTCTCACTGTATCGACGCCTGGTTGGTTTCTCACGTCACGTGCCCGGTTTGCCGAGCCAACCTCGTTCCCGAACCCGGTGAGCTATATCCTACTATGAAAACACTGAGTCGCGACTCAGACAGTGAACCGGGTTTTTCGGACCGTTCATCGGAAATAGTTGCAGCGGCCAATGATTTAATCATACGCGTACCATCTCCTGATGTGATTAATCCTAATCAGAACCGTTCATTTCGTGGTCAAATGTCTTCTACATCACACTCGACCGGCCGCTTACCGGTCCAACCGGATGTGAATTTTGAGCGGTTCACACTGAAGTTACCAGAGGAGGTACGCAACCGGTTGTTGTACTCGAGCTTGACCCGGACGACGAGTTGTGTGGTGTTTCCTAGAGAGAGGAGCTTGAGGAAGGGTTTTAGGAGTACAAGTGTGGGAACCGGTCGAGGAAGGAATCATTTATTCTACGAGCGGTTTGATAAGGAAGGACGGTCGGACCGGTGGGGGTTTAGCATGACACCGTCATACTTGTCACGGTCCGGTTCGGCTAGGGGTTGGTTTAATCGTTTGTTTGCGAGGACCGACAAGGATAATGTTGGAGAACGGTCGACTGATGGGCTAAGACAGGATGGTGAAAATTAGGGACAATTTCTTACTATTTTGCAATTTATATTTTTATTTTTTTCCGCATAGCTTAAAAAGCTGAAAGTTTTTTCAGCTTTTGAGATTGTGTGATGGTCCTGATGGACTAATGTACAGTAGAAAGATTTTGGTATATTATATAAAGACTCCCTTCAAATAAATAAAAACACTGACGGTGTGTGTGTGTGTGTGTATATATATATAATATATGTAGTATAAAGAATCCCTTTATTTGCCTTATTAAAAATAAATAAATAAAAATAATGATATATATATATCCACACACACATTTATATATACACAAAACTTACATATATATATATATATATATACAAGTACAACTGATATATACATATATACACACACACACACAAGCACAACACTAAATTGGCAGCCCAACACCAAATTGGCAGCCCATGCAAGAGAGAAGAGAGAAGGAAGAGAGTAATAGTTATATGTTGTGTCATATTTAGCACAACATTTAGCAAAGTTATATTTTGACAGTTCATTTGATATGTCATTAGAGAGCCCATTGTAAACTCACATGTTATATTTTGAAAATAATAGCTCAAATAATAACCCTTTAGAATTGCTCTTAAGGGTGAAATTTCATCGGCTACGTAATTTTTGAAATTCATTGGGACCGAGAACAGTAGTTGCAACAGAGAGTCCAGTAGTAGTAATGTGTCTATACCTAGCTGAGTTGGACCTGTTATCACTAGGGAGCTATCTAGGTTAGCGAGATTAGATTGGATATGTTGGGCTGGTCCTTTACCGCATAGCAGCCCAACTCAATCCTAATACATTATTGTTGGTCCGGCCCAAATCAACAAATAATCATTCGGCTTTAATGGCCCAGATTCGAAAATTCATATTGCATGACATTAAAGTAAGCATGCAGTCCGAGAATGGATCAGTTTCTTTGTACTGGTGGTTTCATCTTACAGATGCACTGTAATAAAGTAAAGAGGATTGTTGTAATGGAGATCCCTGATTTGACCAAAAGTTTAAGTGATTGGGTGGAGCTAATAACCTATAAATATTCATTTCACTCTCTATTCAGATTCGATGTAAGATACTTCTAACATTCTCTTTCTCTCGAACTCGCAACGCTCTCGTTGCAGTCGGACCACCTTGCTCATTCGGAGGTACATCCGGACTCCTTCGGACGGGGAGTTTGTCGGACACTGAATTAAGGATTGAATCTGACTCTAATATCAATTATAACGGGTCGGGTGTTTCGTAGTTCGATCTAAAAACTTAAGCAATTAGATGGAGCTCACAGCTAATCCATAAATACCCATGCAATCAAATCAGATACACCAAATATTTACGCGGAAAAAACCCTCCGGTGTAGATGGAAAAAAATCTATGAGATCCAAACTTTCACTATCACATGGAAAAATTATTATACACAGACTTGATTAAATACAAGAAAAGAGAAATACCCAAAAACTCATTACAGAAACTCTCACCACCCACTATTTTTTTCCTCATGCCAACCCAATACACATTGTTCCTCTTGCTGCCATAAATGAACCCTTGGTGAGTTTACAGTTTCAATTGCCAAAATAATTTTGGTAACCCATCCAATCCAATGCAATCCCATAAATCAAATTAAAACGCAAATCAAGAACATGACGTACATCTTCCAACATCAATGTGTAGCCAGTTTGTCAATCTCATTTTTTGGGTTGAAACTCAACGCGGGGGGTTGGGTTGAAACTCACGTAGGATCATTTTTTTTTCACAACAAAATGCAACCGGGACAGAAACAAAAATGGTGCCATAACTTCACAACTACAAACTTTGATCCATGGCCCTTCTAACACGTGGAAGACTCACTTAGAGAGATTAAAAAATAATAAATCGTAAAGGAATGACAGTAATAAATTCAAAGAGATTGACCTAGTTGGAAAATGCTTGAATCCTTTTGTCTCATGAAGTATCAGGTCTCAGGATCGATTAATTCTAAGTGCAAACAATTCCTTAGGGGCTACACCTATAGACATAGTTTACATTTTACCTGATCCGTCTAGAGGGCGTCTTGCACAGGTATGTGGAATATTAGTTTGGGAAAAGCTCCGGACACTCTTGTTATTAAGAAAAGAAAAGAAGAAAAGATGATAAAAAATAAAAAATAAAAAGTCTGAATTTTCAAAAACTTTTTAGGTGACACATTTGAAAATAAGAAACAAAGAATATGAGAAGAAAAATTAATGATGACGATCTTCATTTTGGTTGGGAACTTTCACAAAATACATCTAAAATGGTTCAAATTAAGAAACTGTGCCCTGCGTCGAAAAGCCTATCTTAAATATAATATAATTATCTTCTCCAACAACTCAATGTCTATAAAATAAATAAATAAATAAAAATAGGGGCCTTCGTCCCATCCTCTCCAACAACTCAATGTCAAGACATACATACAAATGCGACAACACAGGTTAACACACAGTTGTGCCCTTGAGATGGATTTATGGACCTTTCAATCTGTAATATATTAAAATAACAAAAATAAAAATAAAAATTAGGCACTTTACAGATTATAATTAAAAAATCAAATTGCATAATATAAAAGTGTTTGTTTATTCTTTTATGTATGCATAAAGAAAGTGATGTTGTATTCATGTTAACAACTGTAATAAAATAGTGTTTTTTGAAACTAGTTTGTTTGTACAAAACAACGTAAAATATGATTGGATCCATCTGTCTCCAGTTTTTCCATCTAGAGTCTATAAAAACAAAACTTAGTCATATGAGAGAAATTAACGATAATAGAGTTAAGATTGGAACATTTTTTAAGAGTTCAACTGACAACTAACATGGGACAAATTGTATAATATATATATAATATATATATAAATATGTATACACACGCTTAAATTTCTTTGCAATATCAGTAGGAATATTATATTGATGTGTAAGGCAATTTAATTCATTGATAATCACACAAATCCCGGAGAAAATAATGAGACTGAATTTTTAAATAATTATAATTAGAAGAATAGTAAAATGTGGATAGATAATTCTAAATTTTTGTTTGATCAAGCATGTTTCTAGAGCAGTTATAAGCATTATTTTCATTATATATATATAGGTTGAAAGGGTCACTCAAACAAAAGGAGGACAAAGTTGAATATTTTTAACAATTTATCCAAGTTGAGTCGTCTACATATCAACGTGTTAAATTAATCGGTTCATATTAACACACGATGCATTTGAAAATGAAATTTCTTTGACATTTTCTCAATTTATATTATATTATCATCTTTTTCTCTCCAACTTATTTCAAAATTCCAATTCAGATTTTAATTTTTCCTTATTTAAATAATATTTGTCTCCTCTCCATAAGAAAAAATCTCCTCCTTTCTATTGATGTGACACAATAATAAAATAATATATGTAATTTTTTTTTAAAGTACTATGTAAAGGAAAAATAATAATAAAATGTCTTAATTTTTCCAATCTTATATCTTAAATTATATATATATATATATATATATATTTTAAGACAAGAAACACACTCACCCATCTAGTGACGGATCCAGAAAATTTTGTGTGGGGGGGGGGGGGCGGCTTTTTAATTTGTGGGTATAAAATTATACGATTGGTTCATTTTTATAATTTTAATAGAATTTTTTTCATAAATTTTAAAAAATTTAAAGTATAAAATGAAAAAAAATAAATTAATGGGGCAAATTATAATTCTAGTGGGGGCATTTTCATAAATTATCAAAATTTGAAGTATAAAATGCTAAAAAAAAAAAAAAGAATCCAGTAGAGGCGAATTGTAATTTTAGGAGGGGCATTTTAATAATTTTTAAAAAAATTAGAATATAAATGTAAATATTAAAAATCCGGGGGCATCCACCCCCCTGCTCCCATGCTGAATTGCACATCCACTTTTGCTCTTATAAAACTTAAACTCTCAATCTTCTATTTTAGAAGGTGAGTAATATCACTATATTACAAAGTCCCATAATGCAGCCACATTCACAAATTATTAATAGTTTTTGCTTTTTCAAAGGCAATAATTTGGAGCTGATGGCCTCAACCGTTTCTTTAATTTTCTTTATCTATTTTTACAAATTATTTATTGTATCATTTATATTCATCTCTTTGTTGATTTTCAAGAGTTAAATACATGTATTAAACTAATGTTGTATATTCACCTTTCAAAATAAATAGTAAGAAGGTTCAAACTTTCCATACAAAATGAGTGTATAAATTTTTTGTCAAGAAAAAAAAAATTCATTCTTATTGTGGAAGAATGAAATTATTATTTTTTTTTTAAAGGGCACATGTCTTTTTAAAAAATACTACTAATAATAATTTATAAAGGTAAACTTCTAATCTTTCTTTTTTTTTAAAAATAAAAAAATAAAGGGAAAAGAGATATAAATTTTCCAAAATAATCACACGGAGTGTACTCGCCAAAGTAACTTGACCCAGCTAAGCGTGTCTGGAAAATTAAGAAAGAAAATGAAAGTACACGATAAGGAAAGAGAGGTTGTCTCTCTATATACACACTAATTATATATAGAGAGAAAAAACCTTGTCACACCAGTTTGTCAATTATATAATCATCGACTCTTTTCTCTTCACCTTCTTCCTTTTTCTTTTCCCACCATTAGAAATCCATTTCCATTTCATGGGTGGAAAAAAGAAACTGAGAGGTCTCTTAGGCATTCTCAAGGACAATGCTTCATTAATCAAATCAATCCTATCAATCAAACGCACCACCTGCTCAATCCACGTCGCCGTCCTCCGCGCCACCACCCACAGCTCCTCTCCGCCACCCGACCACCGCGTCACCGCCGTCCTCTCCCTGGGAAACGGCTCACGCGCCACCGCGTGCACCTGTGTGGCGGCGATCATGGACCGGCTCCACCGGAGCCACACCGCATGGGTATCCCTCAAGTGCCTCGTCGTTCTTCATAGCATTATCACGAGAGGCTCTTTCATTCTCAAAGACCAGTTTTCATTTTACCCGTCAGCGGGTGGGTCCAACTACCTTAATCTCTCGCAATTTCGGGATACCACGGATGCCGAGACATGGGGATTGTCGTCCTGGGTTCGGTGGTACGCGAGTGTTTTGGAACGGAATTTAATGACTTCCAGGGTTTTGGGGTCCTACTTTTGTTGTTCGTCGGTAAAAACCGACAGACTGAAAGATTCACATGATGTCATCTCATCAATGGACTCTCACTTGCTGAAAGAAATGGACGCTTTAGTGGGAATGGTAGAAGAAATTTGTAGAGCGCCGGAGTCTTTGCATTATCAACGAAATGATTTAGTATACGAGGTACTTAGACTGGTGGTTGAAGATTACGGTTCGACTCAGTACCAAATCTTGATCAGACTCACCGAGTTCGGCGATAGAGTGAGTGGGTTGAGTTCGGGTGAGTTAGCCGAGTTGGGACTTTGTTTAAAGAGATTAGAGGAGTGTAGAGAGAGATTAGTGGAGTTGTTTGTGAACAGAAAAAGAAATGATGCGTTTTGGGATCTGATAGATCATACAAAGATTAAGATTGCGAAGGTGAAGGAAGCGAGAGAAAGAGAGATGATATTGGTGAAGTTCAGGAGGAGGGAAGGGGAGACTGAGTCAACTCGGATTGGGGAACGAGTCATGGGGGTGAGTCAGTTGCTCGGGTTGCCTTGGTTGGGTTCGGACCGTCTTCAACTAACTGTTCAGACGGCAATGGCGTGACTCACAATGAGTTCCAATATCAATTTAGTTTCCTAATTTTGTGGATTCAGGTTGTTCTTTTTCTTTTGTATTTATTTGATTGCCCGCCACATTTTTTACAATTTTCTTGCCTCATGTCCTTTGTTGTGTAGATTATTTAATATAAGATAGATTTATTAGTATTATTACCCAGTTCAACAAAGACTATAACAGTTTCAAATGTAATATCCAATTCCATTTAGGATATCCAATTTATTACGCGTCTAGGAGATGGACGTGAGTATATATATACATATATATATATATATATATATATATATATGCGTTCGTAAGACATATCTGCTGATCATGGTCAATGAGACACAACACAAAATTTGTTTTTATAAAAGGGATTTGAGCATTCACCCTTGCATTTAATTAATATATATATATATATATATATATATATATATATATATATATTATAGAATGAAGATTTGGATCTTTACATATTTTTAGACTATTATTCAATGGTGGTTTTCATATCAACAAGGTTAATGCAAAATGGGATTGCCGGAAAAGAAGAAAACGAAAAAAGAAAAAGAAAAAGTGGGTGATGGAAATTTTGGATATATAGTTAACTATGACAGTATTCATATAAATTCACAATTCTTAGACATAATCCACATTTTCATATTTGATAGGTAGCAATTTTATCATTGCACAATATAAGTTTCTCTATCATAGAAAAAAAATATTTGAAAACATATACTATAATTTTGATGTTTCTCTATTCAGCTCAGCCTAATTAACTCTAAATTATAGAGTCTGTTATGAAAGCATGGAAGACTAATTTAGTGGTCTTTGTTTTTTTTTTTTTTTTTTTTCTTTCTTTTTTTAAATTATTATTATTAAGGATAGAAATTTAGTGGTTGTGACTTGTGACCACAACAACAATATGGTATATGTCAAAATTAGAAGCTACAACTGAGCCAATGCATTTTTTTTTTTTTTTTTTTTTTGACTTTTCAAAAAGGGCTCTTCCAACCTAGTACCTTCTAGTTCGAATTGATTGATGTTGCAATACTTTTTCTAGCCGTTGGAAAAACTATTAAAATTTTGAATTGTGATCTCTTATTTACGTCGTCTTCCAGATCGAAAGTCAAGAAAGGCAATTGGTGAAAGAATCTACTCACATGGGTTGTCCTTGTTTTGGATTTTTTTTTTTTTTTTTAACCCATGCCCAACAACGGTAATATTCTATCAACGAGTGATTTAAGGGCTTAAATCACTCCTCCTATAATTATGATCAATACTCTTTTCAAGTTGATATATAAAGACTTAATACAAGTGTCTAACTTAAAATTAAATATAAAATTGTCAAAAATTTGAGATTTGAGTAAATATGAGACGATTAGTTAATCAGGAGATCTGAGACAAGTTGATCCAAACATATGACACAAGATGAGTTGATCTAAAAATTCGAAACGAGTTGACCCAAAGATCCGAAACAAGTTGATTCAAAAACTCGAAGCAAGTAAATAGCATGGAGTATGATATGATAAATCCATTTTGATACCAGAATAAATATAAGACAAAAAAAATTCGAAAGATAAATCAAACAAACAATCCAAAATGAGAGAACAATTGTTTTATAAACACCCATGCTTTTTGTGGGAGATACATTAATCTCACAATAATGCATCAAATGGTTAAAAAATAATTTGATCAAGCATTTCGGTTGTTTATTTTGATTTTACTAGCACGGTTCTTGGTCGAATCCTCTTCGGTTATCACTTCTTTAATTATGATTTAGATCATAGAAAGGTGATTGCAAAAACGAGAAAGAAAAAAAAAAATAATAAAAAGGTAAAGTACAATGACACATTCTGAGATTTGTCATATTCACAGTCATATACAAGTTGATTATTTTTTAAACAATGACACCTCCTAAAGTTTGAAAAAGTTGACAAAGATACCCTTGTAGCCACCTGCCACATATAATACATGGAGAATTAACCAATTTACCATTTAATCGTTCACTAAATCTTTTTAACTCTACAACTTAATGAATTGGACCAATCAACTCCTCGTTAGCATTTGATGCAAGAAAGTGGAAGTGTTGAGTTAGAGGAAAAATTTACGCAACAGTGAATAAAAAATTCATATAAAATTCGTTTGAAATCGAAACGAAGCAAACAAAAATGTTTTGGAAAGTAGGCTCACAAAAGTATAAAACTGTGATGATAATATCCAGAAGGCTGTCAAATAAATAAATTAAAAACCTGATTTTCAAAAAGTTGAAAAATCCAGACATCAGTTATTGTCGAATTTTTATAAAAATATATTTTTGGTCAAAAATTACGAAAATTTTCACAGAGTAACTAAACATGTAGAGGAACTTTTGGTAAAAATTTCATAGCAATCGAAATATTACAATACCTTAGAGAAATTAATGAATTTTACAATAATAAATTGACGTTATTTTGTGGTTTATATTAACACATGGGTGATTTCGATATTTCAACATATCCGATATTTTACAATAAAATTGATTTTAATATTAGGGACAATTTCATCTTTTTGAACCATTTAAGGTCTTGTTTGGATGACAATTCTGATAAGAGTGTCGTTCTTCAAAAAAATAGCCAACTTATACATAATTATCTTTCCGCAAACCTCACTAGTGTCATTGTACTTTACCCAAACAAAAAAAAAAAAAATTGGAAAACCAAAAAAAGAAAATTAAGGGGGGTGTCGATGAAAAAATTGCATAAATTACGTTTTTGATGACAAACGATGGGCGGTCGTCTCACGGTGCTGATGGGCCCCATGACAATGCTATAATACCCACAGATCCAGTGTCGTGAGACTACCAACTTGTCAGGTTTTCTATTTTTCTGACTGTTCTATACTTAATTACGTATGATATTATTCATATAAATTAACTATTTTTAGACAGTAATCCACGTTTTCATATTTTGTAGGTAGGAATTTTTTTATCATAATATAAGTTTCTATATCACAGAAGAAAATGTGATATATGTATATATATACTATAATTTTGATATTTCTCCATGATCCAGCTCTGCCTAATCAACTCTAAATTACATGTCTAATATGAAAGCAGAGAAGATTTAAGAGGTTGTGAGCACGTTAATATGGAATTTGTCAAATTAAGAAGGTGCAGCTGAGTCAATGACTTTTTAGAAAAGCTCTTCAATCGCAGTAGCTCGTATTGACTGACATTACAATGAATTCTATTACATTTTCTAGCTTTTGAAATTTCCCTAAAACTATATATATTTCTATATGTATCTATATATATATATATAACTATCTTCTTCAATTGCTTTCTCTGCAACTTTTTTACCGTAAAACCTTTTGCTAAAGCATCAAGCGTTACAGGAGAGGTCGAAAGCTGATCGAAATTATATATAAATGCGATTGCTATATATATATATACGAATTCCTTCCCAAAGCTGATCGAAATTATATATATATATACAAATTCCTTTCCATCCAAATTCTCAAAGCATAGCAATTAAAAATAAAAAAATTAATTATTTCCAATTCCCTTCGTTCCTATCCATTCAGGAAATTCTAAAAGCATACCAGTTGAAAAATTAATGCATACTGGATAATCCAATTACAAAAGAATGTTGTATTCTCAAAATATATTTATTTGTATGTGTGTGCATAAAAATGAATTCAAAGAAGTAAAATCATCAAATCATAACCCAATATATAAAATATGAAAGAGAAAGGGAATGAACCACCTCCACCGACTACACTGGCATTGCCGCCACCTCCACCGCCGCTACCGCCACCACCTACCCCGTCACTATCGCCGGTGGTGGAGGTGGAGGTGGCGGCAGCAGCGGGGTAGGTGGCGGCGATGGTGGTGGAGGTGGTGGCAGTGGCGGGGCAGGTGGTGGTGACGGCAGTGGAGGTGAAATGCGCTGTGGCAATTCAAAGTTAATGGGATTGAAAATTTCATTATTTTTATTTTTTTCAGATGTGGTTGCCTTTTATGTTTTAACTTTCTATCAAGGAATTGGAAATAATTATTTTTTTTTTATTTTTAATTGGTATGCTTTAAGAATTCGGATGGGACGTATAAAAGAAAATCTTAACCAGTTTGGTTTTAATTTGTTTCCATTAAAAACATGTCTACTTTAGTCATTTCCTATTAATAAAATAAAAAAAGAAACAATTGCCTTAAAAATAAAAAAGAAACACTGATTAATTAATTACCGTAGGATTAGATTCTAAAGTCAGAATTAAAAGTGAGTATATTCTTCTATGTTCACCAGGAAGCAATTGAACGCCACTATATATATATATATATATATATATATACACACACACACACATCGGAGGGGTATAATGATAATTTAAGTAACCTGAAATTTTGGAATAAATAGGATTAAAAAATTAGGGTCAAAGTTGTCTTTTTTTGTATTTTTAATAGAGACTTTAATGGAATAATAGAAATGGACCTAAATGATAGTTATTTTCAAAAAATGTTTGAGAGTGATATTTGACCAACAATTTTTTTTAGGTAAAATTATTGTGTTTGGAACTTACTTACATTACAAATGAACAAAAAAATATAATCATTAATTAACCGTATCTTTATATTGTGACATCTCACATCATTGGAAGAAATTTTTTGCAATTATAAATGTTTTCTATTTATGTAAATATGTTAAAATTATGGTCCGTCGTATTGATCTATACACGATTCTTTTTCAAGTCTGATACTAAACTTGTATCGATATATTAACTTTATCTGAATTCGTTACACCACCATATAACTATGATCGATCGTACGAATCATAATTAAAACCGTTAAAAGATGCAAATATGACCTATCAAGATAAACGTGGGAACAAGTCCTAATTCATATAGACTAGTTAAGGGGGTCATGAGTGATGGAAGATTCTTGTAATTGGGCTGACCTAGATTACGTGTCAATTAAGACCCAACAATCCTACAATGTGCGACTGAGAATTAGAAGATATATATGTACACACAAATGTCGAAATTTTTTAATGTCTACAATACAGTCAAGACATTTTTCACTGCCGGTTTATAGGAAGTCAAACCAAATCAACAAACTGATTTTTGTAAGGGTAAGGCCCATTTGAGGAGAGCCAAATGGGTCAATATTGGATCCCAACGCAAGCACGAGATATCAACATAAGTTGAGAGGCATAGAGCCCAAGTAGATGGCCCGTATAAGAGTACCCGGAGGATCTGGCCCACAATAGGTAGCCCACTCTCTCGTGGTCCAATTGTAAGAGGTTTGCTCTCCACATCTAAAGAGCACTTCTGGAGAATTCTCAAATGCTTTACGTACCTAATGTTTTATGTGCT